GAGCAGCTGTGGGGCATTCTATTGCAGGTAGATCCTGCCCGGTTCTACAGTATGTGCATCCGGGACACCTGTGAGATAAGTGAACTCCAGGCTGCCTGCAGCATGGTCTCTGCCTACATCCACCTGTGCAGCCGAGGCTTCGTTCCCCTGGCAACTCCTCCTCCATGTGGTAAGCCTTAAAACTCTTCGAAGTTGCCTTTGCCTGGTTGTCCCCTTACCCCATCTGATGGTGAAGGCTGTATTGCCTGCCTTCTTGTCCCCACCTCATTTGAGCTTCGGTTATTCACACAGCTCTTGAGAAACTGTCCTCCCAATTGATTAGATCAAAGTTGAAAGTTTGGCAAGACCAATTTCCCCAGATGCTCCTCCCTAACTGTTCATTTATTCAGCAAATATCAAGGTCTTACATGTCAGATATTAAACCTGTCCTTAAGAAAGAAAAGTAGAAAGAGAGAAGTATTTTGGTGAATAAGGAGATGACACAATTGTAATTATAGATGCCCCTTCCCTTGACAAATTACATTGTACACACTTTTACTTAACTTTCTGTGAATATGTATATATTATTCTCTGCTTCCCCGTGTATAACTTTCTTAAGAGATTTCTTTTTGTATCCCACTTTAATACTTATTGAATGAATGAATTAAATACAAATTAGAATGTGCGTGGGGGAACAAGCATTTCCTAAGTGCCTACTATGTGCCAGGCACTTTAGCATGCTATCTCATTTGATCCTCACAACAACTTTGAGAGGGAGGTGCTATTAATGATCCCCATTTTACAGTTGAGGAAACTGAGGCAGGCAAAGGTTGCCTCTTGCCCAGGGTGATACAGATAGTACGTATCTGAAATTATATTTAAACTCAGGTCTTCACAACTGGCACACTTTATCCACTGCACCAGCAAGGCAATGTGAGTTCTTTGAGATTTCTCATGTCATCTTTGTATCTCCAATGAGATACAAAGCATAGCAGGCATTTGATAAATGTTTGGTAAATGAGGTAATGACTTTGAGCTGGGCCTTGAAAGATGGATAGATAGCCGACAGGCAGAACAGGGTGGGAAGCGTACTCCAGGGAGAAAGGACAGTGGAAGAAAAGCATAGAGAGACTGGAACCAAGGGGTACTTGCAGAGATTAGAGTACAAAAAGGAGAGCAATGTGAGATAAGCCTAAACTGGGCCCAACTTTGGGAGGCATTGAATGCTAAGAATTTGTTCTTTATTAGGTAGCTAATGGGTTGCACTTATCCTTATTACTGCCCACAAATACACTTTAGTCCTGACATATTTGATGTTAATGCTCCCCCTATCCACTTAGTTTTACATTGTAATAGGTTACATACTTGTCTCATCAGACTCTAAGTGCCAAGGACTCCATGTAGTGTTCTTTAAATGGTGTCCAATAATAATAACTCACATTTATATAGTGCTTTATGGTTACAAAGCACTTTACATATATTACCTCATTTAAGTTCCACTAAAGGCCCAATCTGAGGGCTCATTGTAATGTGAAGGTGACCCCCACATTCTCAAAAGGAATATCGATGAAATACAAGCTATGAAAGGATCTACCAAATTGGGAAGGCTTTGAGCAGGGGCCTAGCAATGGACCATCAATCAGTGTGGCCAAAGAATTAAACTAGCTTAGCTCAGGGATACTTACATTGGAAGGTTGACCAACAAGTGATAAATATTGTTGAGCAAGGCAACTCGTTGAACCATCTACAAAGGCATGGAGAAACAGTATCCACACTAATGAAATCAGAGATCATTTGCAAGATTGAGGTATTTCATTTCAAAGCAAGGCATCAGATAGAAATAGGCATTTAATAAAGGCTTTTTGATGGCAGTCATAATGATGGCAATAAGGTCTTTTCTAAGCCTATGTTTACCACAGACAGCTCTGGAACAGTATATAAGGAAAGTCTTAGAACCAGCTTATAAATGGCTTGCCAATTATTAAATTTTCAGTTTGTATATATGCATTTTTTTTTGCAGAGGCAGTTATTAAATGTTTACCTGCAGTACATTTTGACTAATTGTTCAGCATCTTTTCATCCTATTAGTGAATGATGTTTGTCAAAGTTAGTAAGATAACCAAAGGAAGATTTATCCTGGAATTGCTTATTTCTTAAGCTGGAAAGGACCTAAAGAGATCATCTACCTCTATGCCTCAGGGCAGAATCATGTAAAGGTCCCTATTAGTGAGAATAATGAGTCCCCTGAGGTGGTCAAATTCTTTAGCACTGCATATTTTCAGTGGGCTAGAACTAATTACAATATTTTACATAATTGTAACTTTGAATAGTGTAAGTTGGAATACATGCAACCACTTCAGAGGATTTATTATATGAACTAATTGGAAATTAGCTATATTATTAAAAAGTCATTTAATCACAAAGTCTTGATTGAGTACTTATTTTCCCAGTGCTATAATAGTATGGGTCCTAGAAGAGGACCTGGTGTTTGTGGCTTCTTGGGCATCAGGATCCATCCATTCAAAAATCACACTTCAAAAAGCCCCCACTGATGTATTTACTCTTGCCAGGCCAACCAGGAGACATTATAACTCGAAGCAAAAGACATTTTATCAAAAGCATTAGAAAGTTAAGTAACAAAATATTCCTCTAATACATTCTCTCCCATAAATTATAAAAAGAGATAAAACATATAAGGAACATGCATGGAGAGAATACATATGTAGGTGACACACAGCTTAATACATGCCTATGACACTTTAGAGCTGCTGTCCTCTAATGTCATCCTTATCTCTTTCTGTAGTTCTTAGCTGACATAAACCTACTTCCTCGTAGAGAAAAGGACCTGCCCACCCTTTTCCCCTAGATAAACCCATGTGTTAACTCTTTCATGATGAAACCCCAGTCCACTAGTTAGAAAATCCCTTAGACATTTTTAAGTCTATCTTTTGAACTCCTTTTCTCTTGTTGCTATCTACAGCCCTTCCGTCAAATTATAGCCCAAAATTTCTTTTAAGTTTTATCATATCTCTTGAGTCCCTAGCAAGACTTACCTCTAAATCATTCCAAAAGCCTGATTTCACATAACTGCAAAAAAAAAGCTGGTTATCACTAAGGTGAGAAGATTCCTTTCAACTCTCTATAATTGTCTTGGTTGCAAATGAACTTGGGCACAAGACTGAAATGGACCATATGGAATTGGAAACTATTCTGTACCAACAACCAAAATTACTCTGCTTCCTACATATCAAGACTTTGATAGATCTCCTGTCTCATCATCCACAGATGCAAACTGCCACTCACCTTTGCTTGTCTGTACCTTGACCATTGTACCTATTTTTCCATAAATCTCCTGTAGGAGATCTACCCAACATGCTGGGTTCCTTCCTTTAGATTTCTTGACATTGGGTGGAACACATGGACAATTATCCCTCTACTTAGGCAATGTTAGGTGACTGGCCTGCTCTTGTCCCATCTTACCTTTCTTTGATGATATCCTTCATGCTGTCTTGTTTGTAATGGTTTGTAGCCCACTTACCCCACCATGTACCTCTCCATCATCCTATGGTCAATCCTTAGTTTTAATTCTTCAGAGGCCACAATCCTTTATTCACAGCCATACAACCTCACCAGAAGAATACTCATGTTTGAAAGATGGGCCTGTGTTTCCAAGGAGAGATCTGGATTCATTAAAAGAATTTTGTGATTTTCCAGAGGCAATCTAACCCAGAAAATTCTATGGATTGTCCATCTATGTATTGAAGGAAACAGATATAGCCTCTGCTCCCTTGGGGCTCATAACTAAGAGTAGCCAACCTGGCTACCTGCCTAGAAGACATTCAATGAAAGAACAATAGATACAATGAGAGAGAGAGAGAGAGAGAGAGAGACACCATGATACTCCATTCGAAGTATAGTCTGGTTTTAGACGAGGGAAAGAGACTGCCCTATTTTCCTCAGCCACCCTATCCCACCAGGGATGGGGGGGGAACATTCCTTGTATCTTGATATCCAGCAGTCTCCCAGAGTTATACAGTTATTCCTTCCACATCATGTCTTACCTCCAAGATTTCAATATATTAAGAGGTGGGTTGGCAGAAGAAATTAAATGGTAATTTTTTGGGAGTTTTGTGGAAGCAGACAACACAGAAAACTTATTTTTACTTAACATTGACCTACATATAGCCTATGACCAAATACTTAACCCAAATTTTACAATAAGGTACTATAAACACTCCATAAAAAAAAAATCAGGTTTCTTTTCTGATACAAAGGGAGGGCCAAAAAATTTTACGCAGATTTTCCAGATCATGGGGCACCAAGCCTCTAACCCCTGTGATGTGGAAGGATAACTGTATTATCTGCCCTCCCCATAAAAGTAAACTTGGGATCAAAGAATGACTCCTTTCCCTCAAACCATTCACATCTATTGTTTCTTCCATCTCTTCTCTTCTTTTCCACAAGATAGAAGCCAAGGATTACTCTCCCCCTTTACAAGGCAAAGTCAAGGAAGTCTCAGAGATATTAAATGTTTTCCCTGAGCTCACACAACAGTCTTGAGATTTCCCTGCTGTCCCCTTGCACACACAATTCACCAGACCAGCTGGCTTTTCCTGAACTCAGGGATTGTCATAAACTTGGATTCCAGAAACCATAGCAGTTCTACCCATCTATCCCCAGTCCACAATATGTGGAGTTGGAAACTATTCTGCACCAACAACCAAAATTACTATACTACCTACATGTCAAGACTTTGATAGCTCTCCCATTTCATCATCCACAGATGCAAATTGTAACTCACCCTTTCATGTCTGTCCCCTGACTATCGTCCATACCTTTCCATAAGTGTCCCATAGGAGGTCGATACTCCATAGTATCACCAACAGCATACCAAAAAAAACTGCAGTAGTGTGGGGTTTTGTGGTGGAGTGTAAAGATGAGAGGAAAAGAAAAGGGAGTTAAGAAACTAAAATATCTAAAAATGGTCAGAGCTTTTGCTGGTCTCTTGGATCCATCTAGGGAACATGTTGTCAAAGCTCTCCTTAATTTTCATTTTTTTTTCTTACAGGTGAAGAAAGAGGAGTTGGCTTTGACTTTTAAAACTTTGCTGATATAAAAATCTTTAGCCCAAGAAAACCAGGAGTTTACATTTAGTTTGGTCATTCTCAGTCACGTCCAATTAAAATTCCAATATCATTTGCTATGATGAAACTAGGTGGTGCAGACAATGGAGTGCTGGGCCTGAAGTTAGGAAGACTTCCACAAAACTCCCAAATTAATGTGAATTTAAAAAGCTGGAGCTCTATCTTTTTTCTAAGCTGGACTTCTCAAACATCCTTTGTCTTTTAAGACCTAAAAGTAGAGACCAGTTTCACTTTGGTTTCTGCACAGAAAATTACAGGGAAGTTTAAACCAGTCAGTCTGAACACATTGAGCAACAGCTTAGTTGTTTAATAAAAGTCAGCATTTTAGAAATGTCTGCATTTCTACCAAAAAAACAAATAGGACTGCTCCTTTTCAGGCCACCCAGCACTTATTAAGTGATCACACACATGTGTGGCACTTTTCTGGGCGCTGTGCCTGGTTAACGAAACAGATTTAGTACTTGCCCTGGAGGAGTTTATATTTAAAAAAAAAAGTCTGTCTTTGCCAAACCACATACATTCACATGAAGGAAAGGAGAGAAATGTCTAACCTGGTCTTCATCAACATTGGCTATTCTCAGGGAAAGACAGCAATAGGTTCTGAGTGATTACCAGACTTGTGGCCATTGGGCTGTGTTCTAAAGTCAAGAAATAGAGGGCCTGGATTTATTTTGCTAAATTTACCTGCTGCATGCACAGTTAAATCTTCTACAGTTGCCTTGACTCCCAAGTTCTATCTTTTGCCTTCTTCTTGGATACATCTAGGAAACATGTATCTTGTCAGAGTTCTTCTGGCTTCTCATTTCGTCTTACTGTTAATCATAACAAAATTTTAAAAGTCATGGCCATCTCACTTTTTCGCCTGGAAAAATTAACTGTAAAGAAAAAAATATTGACAATGGATATATTCCCTGATTGTATCCAAGGAGATGGCAAAAGTATGAGTTAGGAGTTTGTACAACTATTCAGGACTTTTGCTTTTGCATGCAAAAGGCAATTTAGCACCTAGAAAAATTGTCAGGAAAAAAAGCCTTGGGTTTTACCTGGGAAGTTTCTCTGCCTAGAGTTGGGATGATTTCTGGTTCTATGACATTATTGTCAACATTCTTACTTGACACCCTTTTGCCAGTTCACCTATCAACTTTATTTCTGAATCAGCCTCTAGAAAGATGTATTACCTTCAGTATTTTTGTTATTTAGTTATGTCCAACTCTTCATGACCCTATTTGGGGTTTTCCTGGCAAAGATACTAAAGTGGTTTTCCATTTCCTTCTCTGGCTCATCTTACAAATGAGGAAACAAAGGCAAACAGGGTTAAGTGACTTGCCCAGGGTCACACAGCTAGTAAGTGTCTGAGGCCATATTTAACTCAGGAAGATGAGTCTTCCTGACTTCAGGCCCAGCACTCCATTGTCTGCACCACCTAGTTTCATCATAGCAAATGCTATTGGAAAGATACCACTTCCTCATCCTCATAACTCAATGGCAAAGACTGATTTTTTTTTTTTTGACAATACAAACTCATCTGGGGCCATAAGTAGGCCAAAGACTTGGGGAGAGGGAGGGAATTATACTTTTTAATCATATATATAATACATGTATATACATATACACACATCTATACATACATACGTGTGTGTGTGTGTATATATATATATATATATATATATGAATATTCATCAGTGATACCATTGAGACTTGTTGCCTAATGAGTGTGAACCTTTGAAGTTTCACTATATAAGGAAGGATGCTAGGAGATCTATCCATCCAGCACCAACCCTAAACAACCACAGCCTACACACAGATCTACAGCTATCTTGTATGTACCTCTATCACTTTGACCCGAAAATAGAAAACACAGTAGAAAAAGACCAAAGTAAAATGATAGGCAACCCCAAGTACCTTTAGGATATGGTCTGTAGAATAGTCTGAGAAAAGTAATAGCTTTGTATCATTTTTGTCAGGTTGATGAAGGGTAGGAAAAATAAGTGAAGGTACAATGGATACTACAGAATCACCTAGTGTTTCTGGAAATTGATCATTCCTAAGAGAGAGATTCATTCAAAGTGAGTCCATTTCCTCACTGGCCTAGTGAGAATGAAACATAGTAAGCACTTCACATTTCCTCATCTTGATAATGAAGGAGTTAGAACGGGTTATCTCCTAAAGGAGCCTTTTATTCTAATATCCTATTAGTCTCATCCTATGAGTTTAACCTTCTGGTGCCTTGACAGTACCTCCTCAATCTGGATTCATAGGACTGAAAAGGGAGAAGCATAGGAAGAAGGCATCCTCTAAGGATATTAAGACCAGAGTGGTTAAAGTGGTTCTCAAAGTCACACAGGCAGTAAGTTATAGTGGGGAGATTTGAACTCACTTCTTCTGAATCCAGATTTGGGACCCTTGCAATTATATGTCATCTTAACTGATCTGTTTGGTTTTATATTTATAGAATATATTATTTATATTTATAGAATATTTATATTTTATATTGAGTTGGGATGCAAACCTAGGACTTAGTTTAATGTGGCATAATACTGGGGTAAAGGGTACTGGACTTGAATAAATGGCCTGGTTTCAAATCTCTGCTCAGATATTTACTAGCTGTGAAACCCTAGGCTGGTCGGGTAAACTCTCTCTATATTTATAGAATATACAGTATATTATAGAAATGTATTTATTTATAAATGTAATTTATACTTTTTATTTTACATTTATAGGAATGTATATTATATATATTATATTTATGGCATCATAGAGGTGTTATTGGGGAGGAAAGTCTCAATTTCCTTAGCTCTGAAAGGAGGGAGATAAGCTCCAAGGTTCCTTCCAATTCTAAAGTTGTGATTCCTAAAGAGCAAAGACTTTGTAGACTTAATGTTTATACTGGAGTACAATAGAAGATTTACTGAAGACCAACAGAAGATAATTTTGTGATGCCTTTGGCAGCAGTGCAAGATGCTAAGGCCTGTTAGGACTAGCATTGTTCCTTCTGCCCTGGAGAAGGGCCTCATTTCTATTTTCTTTTTCTTTTGCAGTGTGAGATTCTGCTCAGGGCAGCCATAGGCTGACAAAGGATGGCAAACTCTTTCGCCTTGTGACATTATCCAGCTCTAACATCCAACAAGCAGCCGTAGTCTTGTAGAGAATCATCCCTAGCAAGGGGAGAAAACACAGGCACCCGAGAGAATGAAGAAAATGAGCATGCCTATGGCCTGCTGAAGGGCAGCCATTTATCGCTCTTTTAAGTAACATGCATGGCCAAGGACATGGGAGCCTCCCCCAACAGGTTTCAGTGAATCTCTTCCTCCTCCGCTGTAAGAGCCTAAGACACTGGGATTCTCCTGTGCTCACTCTAGCCCCCAAAACTCTCTTCTGGCACGTCAGAGGGTGAAAAAAAGAGAGCAATCTGCTTTGGCTCGAAAGATGACTTATTCATCGCATATTTACTGAGCACCTACTATATGAAATGCCGTGGTTCTGGATCAATTGTGTCAGCAGTAAGGAGGAGTGGGTATCAGGAAGGCTGTCTTAGTTATTAATCCCATCAGCTCAGGTTTCTTCCAGCTGTATTTTGCCATCAAATTCCATTTCGCCACCAGCTTAAAAGAACAAGTGACCTGACTTACTGCACATGGCTTCCTTGACCTCAGCTGTCCCAACTTCCTACCAGGGTTGGGGAGAGTCTGGGGTTGTTGTTTGCTCAGGCAGCCATAGCATTTTCAAAAAGTGGGGAAGATCTCTTGAGATTTTCTTGTTATCAAGTGTTTTGTTTTTTTTTTAAATACTGCAAATAAACTAGATTCAAATTTTGAGGTTTAGTGGGAACCTCCTGAATTAATATTCCTGGGGAGCTCCCTAGTGAATACTAGCATTCCATGAGCACTCAGTCATAGGTTTTCATAACTTATTCTGGCAATGACACGGAACAGGGTACTGATAAATACTGTAATCAAACTTTTGAACTTGATTTAATGTAATGTCGTTAATTTTCTTTCTTATTAATAAATTTGCTTGAATCCAAGCACTTATTTGCTTTGGGGAATTCATTACTAAATCCACCAGTGAAAATAGTGTCGGTTTATGGAGCACTTTGCATTTATTATTAAACCAGGGGTTCTGAACTTTTTTGTGACATGGACTCCTTTGGTGTAGTGAAGTCTATGTACCCTTTTGTTTTTAAATGACTAAAATAAAATATATATATATATATATATAATTACAAAGAAAACCACTTGCATCAAAATACAGTTATCAAAATATTTTTTAAAGTTTACAGTCTCCAAGTATGAATGTCTGATCTAAACTAAACCCTGTAGAGAGTTTTATCTTCCTTTTACAGATGATGAAATTGGTCCAGAGAGGGGAAATATCTCAAGATCATATAGCTAGGCTAGTAAGTGATGAAGTTTGGACTTAAACCCAGGGCTTATGAGAGATCAGAGAGAGAGACTTATGATGGCATAATACTGGGGTAAAGGGTACTAGACTTGAATAAGTGGCCTGGCTTCAAATCCGGGCTCAAATATTTACTAGCTGTGTAACCCTAGGCTTTTCAGATAAACTCTCCCAGCTTCAGTTTCCTCATGTGCAAAGTGGGGGGTAGAGGGAGAGAGGATTGATTTGATGGCTTCTGAGGTCGTGTTCAGCTATAAATCTATGATGCTATGACTAAGTCTGGTGTTCTTCCCACTGTCATGCCAAGGAAATTTCACTTTTGTAAAAGCCAATTATGAATGAGCACTCATTCCACTGCGCCCACTTTAAGGTCATGCTTTCAGGATTCCAGATTTCAGAGCAAGGAGAATAATAGGCTTAAGGCTTTCTCAAGCCAGCATTTCTGATGCTAAAAGGCCACGGACCACTTGGGACTGCCTTTGTTTTAGCTATTAACTAGTTAATTGTCATTTAGGAGCACTTGCTTTACATTGGCACTAAAAGGATTAGCTGGAATTAGCTTACCCACTTATTACTTAAGGTAATAAATGGATAAGCCACCAAATGGCCCTCCTAATAAGGTCTGCACTATCAGCTCAAATGCTTACCCATAGACACAAGCAGAACTGAGTCACTGGAAATTTTGGGTCCCTTTTTCAATTCCTATGCCTACATGCAGGCTCTTGTAATGATTCAACCCAGGCTTTTGCCTAGTCTAAGAGTATGAATATGTCCAACAAAAATTTATCATTTATCGCATTTGAACCGTATTCCATTGAGATAATAATCTCTTTCCCAACTTCACATGACCTGAAAGGATTACTCAGTAATATAGAGGATGGGACATATTTAATGAAAGTGGAATCAAAAGAAAAAAGTTGAAGGTTAGACGTTTAGATCGCTAGGGCTTTTCCTAGACAGAATTTTAAATTTCAAGTTCTTCAGATCTCTGTCACTGTTACTGTTTCATTTCAGTCATGTCTGACTCTTTGTGAACCCATGTGGAGTTTTCTTGGCAAAGATATTGGAGTGATTTGTCATTTCATTCTCCAGCTCATTTTACAGATGAAGAAACTGAGGCAAACAGGGTTAAGTGACTTGCCCAGGGTCACACAGCTAGTAAGTATCTGAGGCTGGATTTGAACTCACAAAGAGTCTTCCTGATTCCAAGCCCAGTACTCTATCCACTGTGCCACTTAGCTGCCTCATATCTCTTTACCACAATGAAAACAAAATAACCAATGTTACCTTTGGTCTTAGTTGCAGAGAGAACATATATACACAAAAATAAAATACAGGGCATTATCATCATTATAATAACTCTTTGTTTGCAAAGCTTTTTCCATATTATCTCATTTGAGCCTCACAACCCTGTGGGATAGGTGAGCAGGGAAGGATTCCTGATGGACTTGGGATTTGAACTAGACTTTAAAGGATGGGCAGATTTTAGCCAGGTGGAGAGAGGAAGGGGAAGGGCAGGAGAAAATGAGGACAAAGGCTCTGAGACAACAATTCACAAGGCATTCACAAGAAACACAAAATAAATTTTTGTCTAAAGCAATGGGTACATGTAAGGAGACAGTAAGAAATAGTGGGACTAGACTACCAATCATAGGGGGTTGTTGTACACAAGTATACCGACAATGGAAAGTTTAGACTTTATCCTTGCGGGGGACAGGAAGTTATTGACAGTTTTTGAGAAGGAAAATTTAGGATAGACTATTGTTGTTGTCATTTTTCAGTTGTGTCCGACTCTCCATGACCCTATTTGGGGTTTTCTTGGCAGAGATATTGGAGTGGTTTGCCATTTCTTTCTCCAGCTTATTTTATGGATGAGGAAACTGAGGCAAACAGTTATCCAGGGTCACACAGCTAATAGGTGTCTGAGGCCATATTCAGACTCAGAAAAATGAGTCTTCCTGACTCCAGGCCCAGCACACTATCCACTATAGCACCTAGCTGCCCTTTAGGATAGACTGGAAGGGGGGAAAGACCAAGGCCTGGGAAATTTTAGGTTACTGTAGCAGACTAGACATGATGTGAAAAAGGATCGAAATATAGCAGTAGGAGAAAGGGATGAATTAAAGACATTATGAAAAGAAAATCAAGACAACTGACAATGTGAGGGATAAAGGAGAAAGAATCCTTAATGACTCCAGCCTTTCAAGCTTGAATGGCTGAGGAAATAGTGGTATTGAAGATAAATGGAAGTTAAGATTGGAGGTTAATTTGTGGGAAGGAGAGGATCAAGTTTAATTTTAGACTTGTTGACTCTTGAGTGGTAGTGAGATGTTCAAGTGGACATTTCCAGTAGGAGGTTAGAGATGCAAGACCAGTACTTGGATGAGTATTGGGGCTGAAGTTCTCTGGGAGAAATGAAAGCCAAAACCTTTCAAAATGATTGAAATTACAGAGGGAGTACAGAGTGAGAAAAGCAAAGGGCTAAGGTCTTCACTTTGGAGGATACCCATGTGGTAAGGAGCTAAAAATGAAAAAGGGGGCAGAGAAATAGGAGAACCAGGGTAGTGTGATGTCATGAAATACAATGAAGGAGAGACTTTCAAAGAGAGTGGTTAGAAGTGTTGCATCTACTTTGTGTGGTGTTGTTAAAGGGTAGTTTATACATAAGTTGTAACTTTGATGTGGTCATCTTTTCACCCAAGAGATCTAAACCACGAGCTTTCTTGAATCTTAACAGCATTAAAGATGATTAATTTCTTTAAAAAAAAAAAAAGACTATTGAATTCAACAGTTGTGACACTCTTTGGGACTCTTGAAGGTACAATTTCAGAAAAGCGGAAGGGTCAAGTAGAGTCAGATTGTAGGTGGTAAGGAAATGGAAACAGTCAATGGAGACCACTTGTTCAAGAAGTATGGCTGGGAAAGAAAGCAGGAAAATAAGGCAGTAGTTAAAAGGGATCAAATAAAGGTAGCTTTTTTTCTCTCCAAAAGATGAGGAAACACATCTATACACATTTACAAGCAGAAGACATGAACTCATAGGGAAAGATAGGTTCCTAAAAAGAAGAGGCAGGAGAATGTCCCAGGTTCTGGGAAAGCAGGAAGGGGTGAAATTCCGAGCACACAAAGGGAGGTAAAAATATCAAAATTAGAAGAGAGAGCTCAAAGTTAATCTAATTCAACCACACAGGAATCTCTTTAACATCTCCACCCCGAAAGAAAAAGATAATTCACACAAAAGGTCAACCTCAGTATATATAGCATTGTGGAAAGGGCACAAAATTTATAGTCAGGGACCTTGGTTCACATATATTATAGTGGGTATAAGTCAGAACTTGGGGTCAGGAAAATCTGAGTTCAAATCCTTCCTTAATGATACTTGCTAGTAGCTATGTGGTAATGAACAAGTCACTGAAAGTCTCTGAGCCAGTTACCTCATCTATAAGATGGAGATAATGTTAATAACAATTGTAAGGTTCTGGTGAAATAATAGATTTAAAGGGCTTTACAAACTTTAAAAGTGCTATATAAATGTTTCCTCATCTGTAAAATCTGGGGGTTGGATTAAATGGTTCCTTCTAGGACTATATTCTATAATTCTCTGATGGCTTCTTCTAAGAATGGAAGAAAGCACATCTGCTAAGGTCATGATAAAATGAAAATGTCATTTAGTACATGTTTGAGTATTTGAGCAGATGTGCTGCCAGGCAAAAGAAGGAAACTATTCAGTAACATTTTTAAAGAAATGATTATAAATTTAATAATCACCAAAGGCAATTCAAGTAAATAGATATATGGAATAAAGAATAAAATCTTACATTAAAACCCTTGATATTTAACAAGATTGAGCCGAGTAAGTTCACAAACAGATGAATAAGAAGTCATTTGTTCTGTGACTCTTTCCAGGAACATGTGAAGTCCCACTAGCCGGTCAGTTGGCAAGCATTTATCAAATGCATATCATGTGCCAGGCACTGTGCTAAGAGCAGAGTATACAACGGAAGGGGGCTGGGAAATAGTTCTCACTCTCAAAGAGTACATTCTACTGGGAGATACAACATGCAAACAACTACGCACAAACAAGATACAGACAAGATAAATTGGAGGTGATCAACAGAGAGGAGAGACTATCATTAAGGGTCATTGGGAAAGGCTTCTTGTAGACTTGAAGAAAGAAAGGGAAGCTAAGAGACAGAAGGGAGGAAGGAGAAAATCCCAGATGGGAGGAGAAGGAGGAAGAGGAAGGAGGAGGACATATAGAAAGATGTTATAAAGGTAAAATCAACTGGTCTTGCAACAGATTAGAAATGGAGCATGAGAGAATGAAGAGACAAAGGTATATTTTATTACTTTACTGCAAAATGTTTGTACCACTCTTTTTTAAATTTTTATTTATTTTTAATTTTTAAAATTTTTTTTGTTTTATTTTTTTTTGTACCACTCTTAAGCAAATATTTTTATATCTGGGTATTGAAACGAATCGACCAAGGACGTAAAGTGATGTCTGTTTTTGAGAAATCAGGGCATGCCATTCCTAAATAGACCAACTCTACAGATCAATAATTCCCTCTAAGTAGATATGGGGGGGGGAATATGTGGGGGGGGGGGGGGAGGTGATGTGTAGTA